TGCTTTGTTATGGACTACTTCAATGAAAAACTCAGATTCAAGTATAAATATTCTCTGGGAAGTCCAGAGAAATCCAAAGAAATTCTCTAGATCGATCGATACAGAACCGAGGCTAGCAGCAGCAGCAGTGGAACCAACAGAGAGCGAAAGCTTTGTTGTTAATGTTGGCCGTCGTAGAAGCTCTTGCGGTTATTGTAGATCCGGTGCTCACTCCAGTATTTCTCACAGTCACTTTTTCCAATTCTCTTTCTATTTCTATTTCTATTTCTGTGTTTTTCTAGATTAATCGATTTCTTTTTAGGCATAACAATGTTTGTGTTGAAATTGAAACATTGAATGAGCTATTTTTCTCTTCTTTTTGCTTGTTTGTTCATCTTGAGTTGTTTCATTAAATTATTGATATAGAAAGGTAGCTTTTTGGAGGGTTTGTGAAGGATGTCATTTTGAAGGACTTAATTAAGGCATATTCACAAACACATAATCGAAAATGATACACATAAGTTGAATTTTTCTAATTTTAACTTAAGCTACTGTGCTTATTTGAAAATAATAAATATTTTTTCCCCATCAATTCTAAGCTTATCTTGGTCACTCAATTGTTTGTTTTGTTGTGTTTAGCCAAATAAATGAGTCAACCACTTGTGCATCATGGTTCAGGGAAGCAAGTGAAGAGCTTAATGGGTGATGTAGATGTTGAATTTGAAAACATCCTTGTGTATCTCTGTGATTATGTTTCTCTGCCATGTGTAATTATGATGTGTGTTTGTGTATGCCTGTGTTTGGATCAAATGCACCTCCAAAGAAAATCAAAGAAACAGCATGGCAGAGAAAATTAAAGAAGCAACATGGCAGAGAAAATCAAAGAAGCAACTTGGCAAAGAAAATCAAAGAAGCAACATGGTAAAGAAAATCAAAGAAGCAACATGGCAGAGAAAATTAAAGAAGCAATATGGCAGAGAAAATCAAAGAAGAAACCTAGCAGAGAAAATTAAAAAAGCAGCAAAGAAGCAAACTGACAGAGAAAATTAAAGAAGCAGCATAGTAGAGAAAATCAAAGAAGCAACCTAGCAGAGAAAATTAAAAAAGAAACATGGTAGAGAAAATTAAAGAAGCAACCTGGAAAAGAAAATTAAAGAAGCAATATGCCAGAGAAAATCAAAGAAGCAACCTAGCAGAGAAAATCAAAGAAGCAACATGGCAGAGAAAATCAAATAAGCAACCTAGCAGAGAAAATTAAAGAAGTAACATGGCAGGGAAAATCAAATAAACAACCTGGTAGAGAAAATTAAAGAAGCAACATGGTAGAGAAAATCAAAGAAGCAACTTGGCAGAGAAAATTAAAGAAGCAACATGACAGAGAAAATCAAAGAAGCAACATGACAGAGAAAATTAAAGAAGCAATATGGCAGAGAAAATCAGAGAAGCAACCTAGCAGAGAAAATCAGAGAAGCAACATGGCAGAGAAAATTAAAGAAGCAACATGGCAGAGAAAATTAAAGAAGTAACATGGTAGAGAAAATCAATGAAGCAACCTAGTAGAGAAATTAAAGAAGCAACATGGCAGAGAAAATCAAAGAAGTAACATGGCAAAGAAAATTAAAAAAGCAACATGACAGAGAATATCAAAGAAGCAACCTAGCAGAGAAAATCACACAACTAGCCAGAGAAAATAAAGGAATAATATGCTAGAGAAAATTATACATGCCAGAGAAAATTACACATGACAAATAAAAGTAAACACACTAGAGAAAATTACACTACGGCTTTACTTGATGGTACTCAGTTCGATTCGAGCCGTGATAAGGGAACACCGTTTAAGTTCACTCTTGGCTAAGGTAAGGGTTTCATAATCTTTTCCTTATTTGATAGATCGTTATTGATTGTTCAACCAGAAAAGATTGTGAGGGGAAATTTCTCTGGAGAGAAAGGAAGGCCAGGAAAGCCAGAGCAATTTCAAATTTCTCTGGAGTGTGAAATTTCTTTGAAGACCAGAGAAGGAAAATTTCTCTGGAAAGAAGGGAAGGTCAGAGAATTTATCTAGGTTGGATAGAATTTCTCTGGCAAGTCCAGAGAAATTCTCTGGATGAAATTTCTCTAGATCAGATTGAGGGACCATAGACATCATGAAAATATTAGATATATTTTATGCTATAAAATCTTAATACCAGGAATCTTAAAAAAAAAAAAACCCAAAAATATACTTACAAATTATTTATTGAATTAAGAGAGTAATTTTTTTTTATCAAATTAAAAATTCACCAAATCTTTTGTCAAATTCAGAATTTAAAAAAAAATAAAAATAAAGCATGAGATATATTAAAAAAAATTGTATCAAATTTGATTGAAAGATGAATTTAGGATAAGACATATTTTTTATAATAAGATTCTACTGTAATTAAAAATTTGATGAAATAATTAAATTGTTCATATTAAATCAAATCTTTTACTTAAATTTAGAATCAAAAAAGATGAAAAGATTGGTGCAATCAAATCTCCAATATTTTCTCTCTTTTTTATCAAATTTAAATTTTTTAAAAAATACTAAAAATTTATCTCTAATTTTTTTTTTAAAATAAATGTTCATCAAATTAAAGGAATCTAATTTTTTCATTAAATTTAAATTTGATAACTACTTAAAATAATGAAACATTGAAGATGATTTTTTTTTTTTCATTAAGTCTGATGAATAAAAAAAATAAAAATAAAAATAGGATATTTTTAAAAATAATAATAAAAAATTGACAAAAGAATTAACATAATTTTTTTTTCTTAAATAATTGATAAAAAAATCAAAGATGCTCTTATTGAATTATTATGGGTTGGTGACGTGATTGAAAGAATCTTTAGAATTTTGTGATAATTGGATGATAAGGAAAAACTAAAACAAATGTCGCCTACCAAAATTACAAAGACTTTTCGCATAATCGGACCAAGATGTGGTGCAGATGTGGTCCATTCAGCCTTTGTTTCAATTATAAGATATGCTGTGGAGGCCAAAGATTTTTACGTAATAAAATATAATGTAAGACAAAATATAAATATTATACATAATAAATCTCACATATAATAAACAAAAACATATTTATTAAGGGTGAGTTTGGAATCAAACTAAAAAATATATTTTTAAACTTGTCTGTAGTGATTTTTAAATCTGTATCAATTTTTTTACATTTTAAATGTGCCTCATATAGAAGGATTAAAAAAATAAAAAAAAATAAAAAGAATTCATCAAAATAAATAAATAAATAAATAAACCAACTGTGAACTTTTTTGTGTATCAGAGAGTTTGCATCGAAGGTATTGTTTAGCATGATGGATATAAGCGCATTTATTTAAATAAGTATTTTAATCACATCAACTCTCTACTTTCTGCACAACTTTCTCTAAAAAATAAAATAAAAAATATACTTATTTTACATTTGCAATTCTTATATTTTTATAACAAATAGGGAGTTTTTAATAAATAGGGAAAAAGAAACCGCACCCGTATCAACAATTGCAATTCTTGCATTGTTTTTTAATAAATTGGGGAAAAAAAATCGCATTCATGTCAACGAGACTTGACCTCAAATATCATGCCTAGTAAATGAACACCAAACCATCCTATTAACCTTTCTTATACTTCTTAAAAGGGGTTTTAAGTAAGCACCAAATATCAAGATAAAATGCAGAATAATTATAATTCAAGAGATTTTACTATAATTTACCCTAAATACTAGTAATTGCCAAGGAAGTGACAAAAATGGGCATCCTTAGTCTGATTAGACCAAACTTCAAGAAAGGTAGCCCAACTTAAATAAATAAATAAATAAACAACAATAATTTAAACCATTAAAAAATATACCACTAATAGCACTAATGCATTGAGAATGGTGAAAAAAAAAAGAACAAGGCATAGAAAGTGGACGGGACCCACTGCCACATCATTAGTGCTCCTTCTAGTACTCCATTTTTAGTGCTCCCAAGCATTTTTTCATAAACAAAACTTCAAGAAGGATGACATATTGCAAATTTTAAAAATAAAATTGATAATTAAGCTTGCATGAATTCGTAATTTCTCAAACCTCAGGGGGGTATTTGTAATTTAACCAAACCTCGAGGGGTGTATATGTAATTTGCCCTAAAAAATATACCACTGATAGCACTAATGCATTGGGAATGGTAAAAAAAAAAAAGAACAATGCATAGAAAGTGAACGGGACCCACTGCCACATCATTAGTGCTCCTTCTAGTGCTCCATTTTTAGTGCTCCCAAGCATTTTTTCATAAACAAAACTTCAAGAAGGATGACATATTGCAAATTTTAAAAATAAAATTGATAATTAAGCTTGCATTCAAGAAGAAAATAAAAAGAAAAATAGGAAAACAAATGAGGTGAAGAAAAAGAAGATTTGAGATCAAAATAAATAAGTACTAATTACCCATAAAAATTAAATGTGTACAATTAATCTTTTTTCCCATAGGAAATCCAAAATGCAAGCATAACCTCAAAATAACACTCAAAGGAACTAGGTGAGGTTTTGCACTGAATTTGTAGCATCTTCTACCTTACTAAGTCAATTTGGGTGTGTTTTTGTCTCCCAAAAACAAAAACACAGGTTCTCTATCACATCCACATATGGTACTTGTCCTGGACTTGGATATAGAAGAAACTTCCTTGTAGTTTCATTTGAAAATCAAAACAATTGTCAATTGATCTGGAAATTCACATAGTATTGAAACGAAAGGAACGAAACAAAACCCTAGCATTTCAAACACTTTAAGGCCATGTTTGTTTGGGTGGACATGAGCTTGGGATTGGACTAATAGTCCAATAAAATTATTAATCCGATGTTTGGTTAAACAATTGAATAGAAGAAACTTCCTTGTAGTTTCATTTGAAAATCAAAACAATTGTCAATTGATCTGGAAATTCACATAGTATTGAAACGAAAGGAACGAAACAAAACCCTAGCATTTCAAACACTTTAAGAATATATCTATTTCCATGGCAAAGATACTGAAGTTGATAAATGGATATTTAATTGGGATTTAGATGTCAAAATGATAAACAAATGAAAGATAATCATTCAGAAGTCCTCTGATGACATTGCACAAGTACAAATAGAAAGATGGATCTACAAATTATACAAAACGGAAACTTTCACAATCATCAAAGACAGAAAAGAAGACACGAATAAACCAGTAATGAGATAACTAAGAACAGATACGAATCACGCAAGGAGAGAGAAGAACAATAATATACTCCTCAAGAACAACCTTTTTCTTCACACAACACATTCTGGCCCACAGAAGCACAGAGTGCCTCTAACAGTGCAAATCTGCTCCAATATGCTTTTATGGCGGTGTCAATTATATCAGCCACGACCACGTCCTCCACCTATACCCAAAAGTGAACTCAATTCTCTTAATATGGAAGAAAATAACTTTCTGGAAAATGTGCATGTGCAACATGTACAAGAGACAATCACTTTCGGACAAATGAAGCAATATTGTTTCACAATTCACACGGCTTCTCAAAATGTGCCAATGATCTTCTAAATTACATAGTCAATAATAGGATTATGCAAGCTTGAGAATTGCATTTATTATATGCATGGGCCATAACTAACATGCAACACAAAAATTCCTTTCTTAAATTTCACATGAAGATCTTGCTCAAAAGAAAACCATTTGGTGATGAAGCCATTTGATGACGAAACATTTATTTTTAGTTACATTACCGGGTTTTGGTTTTTGTGATGACAAATTCACAAATAGCTACAAGTTGAACAACACACAAACAGAAGAAACTAGACAAATAATACAAGAATAGGATGAAATAAATTGATTTGTACCTCTATTACCAGCAGGCTTGCTACTGGACCCACCCTTGCCCCGGCCTCCACCCATGCCTTTGGCACCTCCATCATCTATGCCACGCCCAACACCTTTTGCCGGCCTCCCGCCAGGACCATCCTCTCTACCTCTGCCCCTTCCACGTCCTACCCCAGGTGGTTTTCTATCTGAAAAAAAATATATGAAATTCATCAATTATAAAACAAGCTTTCTGATTAAGAAACAAGGATCATGATGAACAAAAGCGATCAAGTTGCATAATAGCCTGACTTAAAAATGTGTTTTTAGAGTCAATAATAAAGCTCTTACATGTATGCTGACACAAGATCAACTTTAATATGCCTAAACAAGTCTAACGTATTAAAAGAAGAGAGATATTACTTCCCTTGAGATAGTGGATGAGTTCAACCAAAAAATTGTCCAAAAGTGGAGAGATTAAAAGGCACAAGTGACTACAATATTCTAATTACTTATCATTGAGTTATTCTAAATTGATTTTCAGTCTTAAAAATAGTCTCGGTGTTTGTGTTTGTATTTCATTCTTTTATTTCTTAAAAGCAAAGACAGTATCTTCTTTTCAGTTGGTCTGTTTGGAGTCTTCAAATTCAAAGTAAACTTGACAAACCATACCTGCACGACTTTTAGTCTCCTCCTGAACTTTATCAATTACCTGTAAAAACAAAGCCAAAATTACAACAGAAGTTAGACATGACACCAAAAGTTCCCCACTGTACAAAGAAAATTAGGCATAATTGAAAATTAAAAATAAAACATGACATGATTTTAAAATTCAGATATGGTTAATTTACAGGGAAAATCAAATGTGACTGGATAATTGAGAGCCAAATTTCATGTGGGCAAAAAAAAATAAAAAAGGGCACTGCCAGCCAGTTTCCATTTGCAAGAGCATAGTAGTGACTCATCTCATAATTTGCAGTATAAGGCCTGACATCATTGTTCTTTTTCCATTAAATAAAATTGTGCCTATATCATTTGCAGAAAAAACCAATAAACAGCAAATGCCACAACCATTCTGTGAAATTACGAAAAGAAACTTAAAAGGGGCTTCTTTAGAAAGACATTCCACCCTGACAAAAAGGGATGTTTGGCTATGACAAAAACAATCTTCAAAGTAACCACTTCAAGAAATGGCATGAAATAAACCTCTCCAGTTCACTGATAAAGTGATAATAAAAGCTTTATTTATTTATTTTACAACAAATAAGAAACGTAATCAAGCATTTACTAAGAGAGAAAACCAATGGAAAAATAACACTAGAATCAACTTACATACATATTTTGAAAAATTGTATTGCAAATAAGGATTTGAACCTAAAGCATTCAAATAAGACACTAAGGATACATAAAGAACATCTAATAACACCATCAAACAAAGAATTACAGAATATGCAAAATTGCAAGTTCTCCAAACTGGCCATTTGAGAAGAAAATCACATGGAGGAAGTCTGGTCAGACAAGAAACCAATCTCTGTGTTATCACCAGAGAGATGCGCTTCTACAAAAGGTACCTAGCTTAAAGCTTGATCAACTGCATAGGAAGATCACCGAGTGCCTCCACAGTAGCAATTATTACAAGCTTAAAAGAAGATACCTCAAGGAGCACATCATTGTCTGCTTTGGCTAAGATGCATCATTCCAGAGAGAGAGAGAGAGAGAGACAGAGAGAGAAGACATAAAAGGCAGCAGTTCAGAACTAGGGATGGCAATTTAAACCCGGCCCGATGGGAACCCGATCCCCCGACCCCGATTGGAACGGTTTTTCCCCGAAAATTATCCCCATAGGGCCGGGGATGGTATTGAAAATTAAATCCCCGATAATTTTCGGGCCGGGGACGGGGATAAATTCCCCCACCCCGCCCCGGCCCGGCCCCGCCCCGTTTCCCCGCCCCGCCCCGTTGCCATTCCTATTCAGAACTGGAGGTCTGACTCTGTAGTATGTCATATTTGTGGCATACTAACAAATCATTTGAAAAAATTTAAAACAATGCCCAAAGTGCTTCCTATTCTCACTGCTTCTGCAACATCTCTAAATGTGTCATAAATGCTACACACAACCATGACCACCAAAAAATTTAAAAAGTCAAAAATAAATAAACAAAATACAAAAACTCAAAAGTAACTAATTTTTGTTGGAAAAAACGGTTTTTTGGTGACTTTAATGTGAAATTAAAGTAGGTCCCAACCATTGGTTGAGGTGGGATTAAATGGGTTTAAATTCTTTGTAATAAGGTCTTTACACCACAAAAAAAATTACCAAAAACCATTAAGAATTGAATGAAAAATTGTCTCATAAAGTTGGCCTCATAAATGAGGTATTGGGAATTGTGTATAACTACCAATCCCACATTGATTGTGAAAGAAAACTTTGATGAGTATTTAAGTCTCAAGATTATGAGAAGGGCATGAGCAAGGTTCTGAAAAGCGGTTGCGGTCGCTGTAACGGTGGCGGTGACGCGGTTGCGGTTGCGGGGTGTAAAGGCCGTAGTGTAACGGTTGCGGTAACCGGAACCGTGAATTTTTTATTTTTCGCACAATTTGAAAAAACCTTACCGATACACATATTTTTTTTCCATGATCATATTTATTGGGTTAAAAATAAATATTGATCAATTTTTGTAAATTTTTAAGTATGATCCAATATATTTTATATTTTTAAATCATTATAAACTGAGTTTTTTACATTTTATTTTAATAATTAATGACTTTATATTATACAAAAAATCAATTACTAACTATTATATATAAGATAAACAATAACAAAAGTAAGAAAATAAATAAGAGCCCCAATATATATATATATATACATATTTTAACCAACTCAAATAGATAATGACCACTCTTATTATTATTATTATTATTTTCAAACAATATATCTAGATAGACATACACAAACAACATGGTTTAGTGATAGCAGTTGAATAGAATAGCATAGGTCATACAGCTTAAACAAATCGATAACATGTTTTTCGTTTTTCCTCCTCTCTCTCTATCTCTTGATCCTCCATTTTCTCTTTTCATCTGTCCTCTTCTCTCCCTCTTCTCCCATTTTTAGTTTTTTTTTGTGTATTTTTTCGAAAGAAACAATTTGGAACCGTTACGTAACAGTGCGTAACAGGCCGTTACGATTGTTACGGCGCCGTTACAACCACTACGGCAGCCGCTACAGCCGACACACCTGTGAATCTCAATCACATTGCAAAAGCGGCCGTAACGGGTGGCGGTAACTGCCAAAACCGTTACGTAACGGCGTTACGTAACGGTTGCGGCCGCTTTTTAAAACCTTGGGCATGAGCCATTTGGGGTATCCAAATTTTTCGAAAGAAGAGAGTCATGGATGCTTCAAGGATGAGCTTGGGCCAAGACTATGGTCTAAGTTGGTTATGGCAAAATTGCGACACGCGTGCGCCGGCCCGCCTGGACCGGTCCAGATCCGAGGGCCATGGACCTTGGACTTGGGCTTGAGCTTGAGGCTTGGGTTAGGTTTGGGCTGAACTCGATTGGTGGTCCACCAACTTATTTTTTTTGGGCCAGGTCTATTGCAGGCCCAAGTCTGTTGCAGAAATGTATATACACATGTGTATATTGCGTGTAACTCACTCTTTGAATTTCCATCAGTTTGGTAGGAGTAATGGCCTCCATTAGTGGCCAGCCTTAATGGCTGGAGACTCCTTCTCTCTCCCCCATTGTGTATAAGAAGAGACCCATCTCCTTTGGTTTGATATAGAAATTTTTGCCTTTCAATCATATAGTCAGTTTGTTTACTAGTATAATAACCCTTCCTGTGTGAGTGAGAGTGCTGCCATTGTCAGTTCGCCTTGTCAGTTCGCCAAGCTAACAGAAGGTGCTTCTGCGTTAGACGATTTAAGCCATCTTATCCTGAGAGACAGAAGTCGACGTTCCTCTAGCACCCACAGTGAGGCGACTAATCTATTTTAAGAATACTGTGGTATCACACAGAATTTGGTTTGATTCCTCGTCTTACAGTATATTATATGATATATATTTCTGTATTATGCTCTACAATGTAATATGGATTTATTCGTTGTTCTATTATTTAACTTAACAAATCATGAATCTATTTATTTTGTTTATTGTACATTTTTAACAACAATTTTCACCACTCAAGAGTTTGATTAAGCAAATCCATGATTTGAGTTTGACTGGTGTTGGTGTTGGCTGTAAATTGTAATTCGGGACCAAATCCCCAAGCAAACAATAATGGATAAGTCAAACAAACTAAAGGTAATTCATGGTTTACCACTCATAATTGGATTGGGACTAGAGTTTTGTTCAGCTGAATTGAGTTGTTAAGCTGATATTTAAAGACTTGCTACGTGATCAATGTACATAGACAAATAGGCACCAAAGGAAGAAGATCTGAAGTAGATAAAATAGGAATGTAAGCTCAGAACTTCAGATATTAAAAAATGTTCAAAACTTGACAAACCTCATCTGGAACTCGAAGATACTTAATGGTATTCCCCCGAATGTAGCATTCTGGCATTCTCCAAAACCTATCTCCATCCTGCATTGAATTTTTAGTTTTAGGTTCAACAAAGACTCGCAAATATCAGAGTTCTAAGCAAAGGGACAAAAATTGATTAAAAAATATAAAATACCTTTGAGGTACATATGACTTCACGAAGATGGATATTCATCCAAGTATCACAATTCACCAAATGCCCATTGTATGTTTCCCCATTTTTAAGTTCCACCAACTGTCAAAATCATAGCATTAATTAGGGGGCTTAAAAAAATATAATATGCCGTTACTGTAAGTTCGCTTTGCTTCTCAAGCCCCACCCCTTACTAAAACCTAATTTGACAAACTTAAACTCTCAAAAACCTGACCCTCCATGCGTTTACTGGAAATTCCTAGGAAAATAGTAAATAAAATTTCAACTCTTAACTCCTACAATTCATGTTCTTTTTGTTTCTACAAGCAAAAAAACTCCATGGTTTAAAAAATAATAATAAACTAATTTCTAATCAGCCAAAACTTGTTGCTTGCTAGATTCTTGGCTATTTGGGAGCCAAAATCGTGAGAAACCTAACATCATATTTTAATAAATTTCCTTTCCTATATTTCCTTCTAACAAAGCAAAGCAACAATTTAAATTCAACCCTAGTTTCTTTACATCTACATTTTCTCAGCAACCAAACAAAGACTACATAAGTACAAAAATGATCTCAAAAGACAGGACTCTCACCATAGGATGCCCCTGTGCAGTCTTGAGAAGAGAAAGTGGTAGCTGAAATAGAAACAACCAAATCATTAAAAAATGATACCACAGATCTCCAAAGTACACCAAAACATACCCCAACCCTAAATTCAAACCAGCAGGCAACATACCATCTTTCTGATACACAATACGTCAAATCCAAAAAACAATCTACCTGCAAACAAACCCAGAAGCAACGCTATATTAAAGCATCAAAATCAAATAAATTGCTCTACCTAGTAGGTGAGCTACTGTATGAAATATAAAATTATCTCAAAATTTGAAGCTTAAAACAAAAGCGTCTACCATATACTGTGCCTAATACAACTGTATCAGCTTATTTGAAGTAAAAATTTCAATTTCGCAGAAATCTATAAAGCAAGATAAAGCACAACATTTCAAAATTGCTTCTTTTTTCTTTTTCCTCACCTTTCTGGGCAAACAAACAGAGATTTGTTTGTTAAAGGTAAATAAAAAGAAAAAAAATGTCAGGTTTTCATGAGACTCGAAGCAATAAACTTTTCAAACCCTAGAATTCATTGAAGAAAACATTTTTATCGATAACTTTTCAAACCCTAGAATTCATTGAAGAAAACCTTTTTATCGATAATGGAGAGAGCTAAGGGGTCGACCGCGATCTCGATCGCGAGTGGCTAACTGAAAGAAAGTAGGTGGAGGTTTTAGAGGTTTTAGTGAGAAATTGTAATTTGCTAAATTTCTACTACGCCGCCCATAATTTTCTAAAAAATACAGTGGGTTTGAGTTTTTGGATTAAATTTTTTGAAAATAGAGTTTTTTATTTTTTGTTTTTATTTTTTATTTTTAGTGTTTATTTTTAAAATTTTAAGTATTTTTTTTACTTTTTTAAATGTACCTTACTTATATGTGTCTAAAAAGTAAAAAATTTATGAAAAAATATTTTTAAAAAATTAACAAATACATAAAAATATGAAAAACATACTAAATTTTCATATATATATTTTTTATATTTTTGGTATTTATTGAATTTTTAAAAGATTTTTTTCATAAAAGTTATATTTTTTATGTCTATTTATGTTAAGTATGTCTAAAAATTAAAAAAAAAAATTATTTAAAATATTAAAAAATTCAATAAAAACAAAAGAATATAAAAAATAAAAAAGTAAAATTTTCTAAAAACAGTTTTCAAAAAATGAAACCAAACAAATTGATAATGATACTTTTTCCTCCGCCTTTTACACAAATGGATTAAAAATGATTGTTTTATTTTAAAATTATATTTATCATTTTTTTTATAATAAATATATGTGTTCATAATTGGTAGATCAATTTAAAGGTTAAATAAATGAACAAAGCATATAAGATACATTACTCATATCACCCAAAAATGACTTAATCATTGTAAGATTTTACCTATCAACTTGAATTAGACTTAGAGAGAAATAAGATGATTGGTCCGTTAATCCACCCGATCTAATCTTATTTTTTTAAGATTTAAGAAGGTTATGTTAGTCTATATGAGTTGGGCCAATACTTTTAATCCGAAGTATTAATGGGTTAGTTTTGGAATTTATACTTCCAACTCAGACTAGCACGACCCGTTATTAAGTTAATTAAATAATTATTTATTTATAATACATTAAATTTTATTGAAACTCACATTTATAATGATGTATAATGAATTTATTTAAGAAGTCTTTCAATTTGTACAAAAAAATCTTTCAATTTAAAATGATGTCAATATATTTATTTAAGAAATATAATGTCACGACCCATCCCAGTGCCTAGGGTTGGATTCGCAACTAATTAAATAGTTCAAAGCAACTAAATTAAATAATGCAGTGAAATGAACTAAAAGATGTATATAAATATTTGGAGCGTACATGTGAATAATTATTTACGTAACAAAAGTCACGTAATAATTGCAAATAAACACAAGAGAAAACAAAGAAGAAGAAAACGCGGTGTGCATCTCAAGTCTAGGTCCTGATTAATGGGTAAAACCATTATTCCTTAAGTTTCTTCACCTGAAAGGATTTTAACAGCTATAAGCATATGGCAGAGTGATAAATATTATACTAAGAGTATAAGGGTATATAAATCACCATGAATAATTATTTAGACTAAACAATGAATAGTTTGATTTGAATAAATTATTTTAAATAACAAACATATAATACAAAAATCGTATATGCAAAACAATCATAACCACGATACAGAACAGAACAGATGGTCAATAGATCTATGACAAACAAAGAATCACGAAGTGACTAATTAGAGGGTCAATGTTTATTTAAGTCTTTCAAGACATGGGACCGTCAGAGGATCACAATTCAGAGGGCAATAGTTATTTAATTCCCCAAGGCATGGAAACTCCGTGGTAGCACTTATAAAAATAAATACTTATATACTCATTATCAAATAAATTTTAAAATTTAATTAATCATATCCATAAGTTTCAATTTTAAATAAGCAGAGCTTATAAAATAAATAATATAATTGAATGTTAATATAATTATTTAAAAAATTAATTTGTATAAAATAATTTTAAAAATAATAAAATAATTTATAACTACTCAATATATAATATAACTCACCTCAATATTAATTGAATAATGCTTGGGACCCCCTTTTGGGAGTCACCCCCTCACCAACGTGGCGGGTGGTGATTGGAGAAGCAGGAAAAAAAAAAAAAATGTAACCAATGAGAGAGAGAGGGGGTCAAAGGAGGTGAGGGGAAAAAGGGGATGAATCATTGTTGATATTAATTTTACCTTTAATTGTCGACTCACTCTTTTTGCTTATTATTTCTTTTACTTCCTCGTTTTGTTTTTGCTTCATTGCTACAGCCTCACTCCCTCCCTATCCTAATTTTCTCCTTAACCATTGCATCCACAGGTGGCGTACTGAGATGCCTCCAACCAAGCCATTTCTTTCTACCTGCATTAGATGATTTCCAAGTCATTTGCCACATTTTTCTTAATTCTACTTTGGCCCTTAATAACATAATAATCCCATTTTTAGGCTTTTGATTTGACCCAATTAATATATTAATTACATGGTTATGTTTTGGTAAAACTAATGTCTCTTAATTCAAATTAGATTACATTTTAGCACATGTAATTATGAAATTAAATATATTTCTATTATTTTATTTTACTTTCTATTCATTTACTCATTTATTTTTAATTTAATTAATTAAATAATTGAGGTGTCACATATAATGTGTGATTGAATTTAATTATGGAATGTTTTATTTTTTTTTAACATATAACCCGATGAGAGAGCTTGGGATTTATAATTATTTTTTGGACTTGGTTTGAGAAGATATATAGGCTTTATATTAGAGTCGGTTTTGATTTGGATAAACACAAAATCTATTATTTTGTAGTGTTCGCCCGACCCAAACCCAACCTGACTCGACCGATATTTGTCCACCCTTAAATAAGACACTTCACAAAATACATTCCATATTTTCCCCTTTAATAGTATTCAGGTTACACAAAATTTAATATAATTACACACTTTTCTCACACAAAATGTAAGTTATTTTTTATGTGAAATAATACTCCTTTCATCCTAAAATAATGGTCTCTTTTGGAGAATCTAACTTTTTTTGGTAGTATAATTACTGCATTTTAAAAAAATTGATTTTTCAAAATTATCCTTTGATAATACATTTTTTGGGGAATATCAGTGTTGTAATTGTACTTTTTATATTGTTAATGAATTTAAAAGAAGGGCAAAATAGGAAATTTATATTGTTTTTGTATTGATTTTTGAAAATGGACTAGTATTTTGAGACAATAAAAAATGAAATAAATGACTAATATTTTAGGACGAAAGGGAGTATGTAATTCAGTGTTAATAACTTTACTTTTGTCTTTATGGGGGTGTTTGGAAAGTTAGTTTTTAGGTTTTTATTTTATTTTTTTTCACTAAAAGATAAATTAGTTATAAAACCCAAAAATAAATAAATCCAAACAAAATATCATATCAAACCTCATAATCATTTTACTCTTTCTCTTACAAATATTACATCCAACTACAAAAAAATCTAACTATCTTCCCAAATACCAAAAAAAATTTCTCCAATAATATCCTACAACTAAAAAAACCTACAAAAAAAACCCACTACCCAAACACCTACTATATGTAATTTTGGTACAAAATTGTACTTTTTAAGGGATTAAATAGGAACTATATATTATTTTTCATTATTTGCATGTTTGAGTAATATATATGTTATATATTTAATTTCGCAAGCCAGCATCAACCATCCGTTGTCGTCCAGCGGTTAGGATATCTGGCTTTCACCCAGGAGACCCGGGTTCGATTCCCGGCAACGGAACTTTTTTTCTTCAACTTGCAGATTTTAGAAAGTGAACAAAAATTTATTTACAAATTCAACTTTAATGAGGTTGACGTAAGTAAGAATTTCTTCTCACAGGGTTAGAAAAATATATTTAAAAAATGAACAAAAAAATTAAATAAAAATAAATAAATATATATATATATATATATATATTTTCATTGATCATGAAGAATATTTTTTTTTTTTGTTGACTTTCAAATTTTTATTGTATCAAATGTAAAAAAATTATTTTCGGCCTAAAGAACCTTATTCTAGAAAAAAAAAAAAAAAACTCTCTGTAAATTGTAGGAAAGATTTATTCAATGGAATTGTGAAATTAGCTCAATAAAATGAAATTGTCCAAATAAATGGTGTATTATAGTAATATATACAATCACCAAATGAGACTAGCAACATCCTTAATAAACTTGAATAAATTCAACACATTTGAGCTTTTAACACCCACACACAAATAAAAAATAAAAAACAAAAAAATTGTGGTAGAGAAATCTAGCATGGTCACATTCTTCAGTAACGACGCATACTCTCACTTTGCTCATGTTTCGTGCCATGAACAGGTGGTTATTTGAAAAGAAAAAACACGATATTCTCATCAATCAGGGAGAGAGCCGACGGCCGATCTCAAACATCCTCCTTGAAATTGAAATGTCAGACAGTTATCACACTCTAGACAAAAAAAATAAATAAAACTTGTAAATGTCACACGAGAAAAATGATAAACAGAAATTCAACATACGTCATCAGTTTGGCAAAAACTTGATATAGATCACACGAGGCCAACAATTCATCCCACTGATGTGAGGTGGGGCATCGAAAATGATTTATTCAAGGTAATTCAAGCTTGATTTTAGGATAGGACATTTTAGAGTGAGTTTGAAAATTGCTATTTTAGTAACTGTTTTTTGTCCTTAGTGAAATTTAAAAGTACAAATAAAAACTCACTTTCCTTAAAAATAAATAAATAAATAATTTTTAACTACATACAAAATAATAAAAAAAAAAGCTAAAAGGTGATTTAAAAAAGCTAAAGACTAGAAAGCTCTAAAAATATTTGTAAAAATGATATAATTTCTAAAAACAATTCATCATAAGACCAAAAAAAATTCAGAAAAAGGGTGATTTTTTAGTTGTTGCCAAATAGAGCCTTAATTTAAGGAGTTATTATGCAATTTCGATTATTTTGGAATTTATTTATTTCGGCCCTTTCGGCGCTTATTGTTATTGGAAGACACTTGATATTGAGGATATTGATCTTGTTAGGGTTTAGCTCTTTACTATTTTTTTACTTTTGTTTTCTTTTGGCTGCCAGCCTGCATTAGAACTATAATCAATTTTGAAAAAATAAAATAAAATCGGACATGTCACTAAAAAAATTGCCGCTTACCTTCAGGAGGCTGTTAACAGATGAAGAGCTGATAATTAAGCACTGCACCTCCTATATTCAGGTAGTTGACATCAGCTACGACATCCCCAAGATCATCTGTGCAATATAGATAAATTTGCATTCTTACATATTCAAAATTGTTGCTATAATGATGGATGGAATGGTAAGAAACTCAAAACCTTCGTATATAGTCCTAGCATAATTTACGTATTCTGGTATGAGATCTCTATATATGATTCCCTTTGGATTTGCATCCAAGATCACGAGAACTCCTGTCAACAAGAAGATAGACAGTCATATATCCCGTATAAAAGAAGAGATGATCTCTAACTTTAGTTCTAAATCAATACAAAAAAAATTTCCTCAAGGTCTACAACATGTTTTGGAATTATTTTAAAAGCCAAGGTTTTGAAGTTCTAGTTCATTACAATCACAAGGAAAGAGTACTAAGTTCACACTTTTAAAACATATGTAACCACGCAATTTTCTGACAATGGGAAGAGGTTACAGTTCAGATTCTTTCCTTTTCTTTTTCCTTCTTTCTTTCTTTCTTTTTCTTTTTAATTATTTATTAGCTTGAGAACTATGCCAAAAAGTACATTCACTTGCATCGAGCCAGATAATCAAACCAAAGTATGCATTTATAATAACGCAATGAATATCCCCAAAACCTAATGAAATGGCAATATAAATTTTATGATGCATCATACCATAAAAATATCCAATTTGTCCAATGCATCCACCATTCAAGATACACTTTCTGCCTATACGTTTTGATCAAAAATGTAAAAATTGAGAGAGAGAGAGAGTCCAACAAGTGTTCATCTCCTGAAAGTAGTGATGAAACCATGACCCACACAATTCATTGAAGGTTTGGCACAATTTTGAATGCAAATGTAATTATTCCAAGCAGCTACAAATACAAACATGATTTCCACTGACAAACAATTAAATAATGTAGTTTAAAGAAGCATCTAAGCAACACACTTATGTGTGCCTATACATATATTCACTGTGAACTGATCTGCGGCATTGAATTTAGTTGTCCAACATGAGGGTAGATCATAGCTATTACAATTTCCTGTAGGATGTCAAGTACATGCATCATGTGCTTGTAGGTTACCAACATGCATGGTTATTAGAATTGTGCTATTCACAGTTTGATACAAGTTTCAACCAAAACAATTTGAATTGTGTTGTTAGATTGAAAATTGAGTACGACATGCGATTCACAACTCATTGCGATTTAGATATGTTTTTGTTGTCATAATGCATCAAATGACGTTATTTTTGTCTTTTTATCAAGAAATAAAAAAGAGATCAATTAACTATATTAATATGAGTGGTTTTATATGTATACACATATATATACAACATAGTTATATTGGTATTTACTACATTTTAAACACTATGTATTTTTAAATGTATATACATATATGAAGTTATATATTTTATTCAACAAAGTGAGTCTTATAATTCAAGATTCAGTATTTTAGTAAAACAATTCACAATTCAATTGGATCAGATGAGAGCCACGGCAATCAAACAAATTCACTGAATAAAATTTAAACCAACCATGATGAACGTTTAGTCATTGGTGAGAAAACTGTGTAGTTGTGTGTGTATTGAGATCTAGACAACCTTTCATCATGTTAATATTGACATAGCATTATGGTACCAGTCTGGTAAAGATCAGGAGAGGTACCAGGTGCCAACCAAGCTTTGGTGGAATCACTAGGCAATGGAGCCAGCCAGAGAATGTTTCGAAAATTCATTGAATCATCATATACCACGTTAGACCCTGAAAAACAAATGTGAGAAGCATGCCATCATCATAAAGACAGCACATCAAAATGGATACAATCTCCACAGTTCTTTTTTGTTTGTTTTTAAATATAAACCAATATTTCCATTTGACCAATTAAAACTCACTGATTCAAATGGCGGAAAATAATAAGAAAAATTAGCAGCAGGCAAAAATACAGGCACGACATGATGACAAACACAACAAATCCAAATAATGTTGGAAACAGATATGGCAAGATGGTGTCAGCCAAGGATCTGAAGTTGTGAAATTTATTTAAAATGACAATGCCTAAGAAGAGTCTGACATGTTTCTATGCATGTACAAGAAGTTGTGGTGTTTAACAGAGACACAGGCTGCTCTATGCTCTATAGGTGTGTCTGAGCTACATAGCAAAACTTCAATTCTGACACTGATATATTAGTTTCCCTACGACAAATTTCCTCCGAAACAGACAAAAATGTAAGGATAGAAATGATTAATAAGAATTAAAACTTTCTGAACTGACCCAATCAAAAATATAAGGTGATTCAGTAAGGTGATTTCTGAGGGATGACAATACTAAAAATAGTAAAGCATTCTAATTAGGTTAAGTTGAGGACACAATTGAGCAATCATACCTATTTGGCAGTATCCCATATTGTAAGGGAACATTTTCTTATCATACATTGGGTACTCTTTCGCATGGAACCTGCCAAATTTTATACCATAACCTAATGAGCAGTTCTTGGAAAGAAGACGTATTTTTCTAGTTAGGGTCAGAAGCAGCAAAGATGGTAGAAAAAAAAATTTCCATGCTTGAACTAACCATCAAGTCAAAACTATTCTCCTTAAACTAATTGTGCTGCATAGTGTACTTACAGAAATTATGAGACATACTTTTCAAATAAAAATACATTGTTCCATCGGAACTTGTAGACAGTAGCAAACAAAAAGAAAAAATTGCAGGCTGCACGAATGTATGCACACTGTATAGTATACTGGACTATGAAGCCTCAGGTACTTCTAGAAAAGATACCTCATCCTCAATTTCCACCCTAGCTAAATGGATTGAATTTTTCCAGCAACTGTTTTTTAGCCCCAGTTGATACTGACACATCATTAATACTGCCAAAAAAGCACTCTTCAAATTAAATCCTCTCACTGCTATTTTCACAGTCAAACACCCACCCTTGGGGCCTCATTGTGAATTCAAGAAATAGTCCAATTCTTGTAGATAACGACACACCATTGTTTGGTTCCTCCATTTACATACAGATCCCAACGATTTTGCAATTGCTCTTACCAGTTGGTGCAATGGTTTCAAATCAAATCCATGACCTGAAGGAACAGATGAGATTGATATCACAGATGATTTCATCAAATACTTAAATCAACTTTGGAATGGTTGATAACTTAAGTGGATAATCACCTATGGCTAGTTCCCTCCATTCACCATCATTAGGGAAAATGAACTTCAAAAAAATAAAATAAAAGATAAAAGTTATTTCTACAAAAATTTCAGCAACAGAAAGCCATATTTGATGCAAAAAGAGAAGGTATTATGAAGTAAATCAGCTTACAAGATACCAAGTCTTCCAGAATCTGTAGCAAGAAAAATGTGACCATGAAATAAGTCAAAGCGACTTAACGATACATTTAAGCCTATACTGGGACCCCGAGCGGCAATAATTTCAAATAAAAATTTTATGTATGAATTCAACTCCTACAAAAGGAAAGCCAAGCCAATATTAACCATGAGAAAAAATAAAATAAAAAAAAATAAAAGAAAAAAGAAGAAAGAAGAAAATTTGTTAATATCCATTATATTGATGCAAACCTCATTTATAAAGTGTCTACCAAACGGGGTTCTGGTAAGCTCACATCGATTCTCCTTTGATTTCTCAACATCAGGTACCTGTTACATCAATACTAGCAATCTCAAAATGAAACTAAAATCACACTACATGTAATCATATAGTACTACAATTATAAGTTTGTAACCGAACCAGCAAGCAATATAAGCTTGAATAGAAAAGTTATTCTTCCATATGGTCATCCATATATATCTTCATTCATGCCCCCATGCATACATTTTGTATGCCCACATACACATCTGGATGCTGATAAAAAAAAATAATTAATTTTTTTTAAAAAAAAAAAAAACTCACATATTTGGACTGAAAAACGATCTCCATTTTTTAAAAAAATTTTTTGATAGAAAAACCTTTTTGAAACACTCTCCCCTGTACATCCTCCACCCCCCTCCTCTGCCAGAGTGAACCTTGAAACTAATGTCTAGCAGCTATTAAAACTAAGAATCCACATCTGTTTGAAGAGTGGGGCTCAGGGAACCTGAAAATAATCTGTGGCAGGAATTAACTTAAGAATTCTAATTATGCTATTAATCATTCTTCACTATGATTTTTCTTCTCTTCTTAGGAGATGTGCTGTGCATAATACTAAAATTTTCCTTCTCTTGTAAGCACCAAAAAAGACAAATACTCAGTTAGCTATATCAAGCCAACAATGGGCAGATTAAACAAGACCAATGTTTTCATTTAATAAAATTCAAGGGGGGGAAAAAAAAAAGAAATTTCTTGCATCATAAATATATTATAATTAAAATACACTGTGAAAGCAATATAAAAGTAAAACTTCATAGGTAGGCATGGCAGCCAATTCCAACATTTCTATTACTGTTTACACATATGAAAGCAGTTAAAACTCATTACTCTTGTAGTAGCCACAGAAGTTACAGATGAGAGGTCAATGCATCAAAATATCCACTGATTAAATGTTTACCCAGATACAAACTGATATTTATACATTTCATATAAGTTTTTTTTTTACCATATGCAGGGAGTTTTAAATCAAAATGTCCAAATCCGATTAGTTTTAAACTTTCCCGAACCCAGTTGTTTTAAGGTTTGTATGTATTGGAACACAATTGTGGTTTGAAAACATGACTACAACCGATTTAGTATAAAGAAAATATTTAAAATACAAAACACGTCCTCATCAAACAACCGAGTTTGAGAAATAAGTTTAAAACTGCTTGGTTTAGGAATTCTGTTTCAAAACAACCTCCAATTGGTGTTTTTTTTATAACACAACTTTCAAGTGGTTAAAAACTCCATTTCAGGGCATCTCAAACCCTGACTCAAACATTTATCAAATTTAATTTGGGTAAAAATCAATCAAAAACCTCTCCGACCCTTGAGTTAAAATTATATCAAATTGAGTTTTACCCTCTTTTTAGGGGAAATTACAAGTCAGTGTTACTTTCCCAAAATTACATATTCATGAAAAAGTTTATTGATTTAATCATTAAAGTTTGTAAAGTTTATCATAAATATGTAATTATTTTTCAAAATTATCACTAATTTGTTATTTTCCTTTCTTCTTCTTTTTCCTTGCTAACAAATGTCCCTGTAGCACAAGTAAAAGACAAAAAATCTGAAAAACACAACACATTTTTCACTTAGGCTCTGTTTGTTTTGATGTAAAATGTTTTTGTCAAAAATATTTTACTCATTTTCCGTTATTTGGTTGAACAAAAAGTAATTAACACATTTTTTAAGAAAATTATTTTTGCATCATTAAAGCTTGTAAAGTTTATCATAAATATGTAATAAGTATTTTAGCTCACCAAAAAGTCATAAATAATACTTTATTGATTCAAAATTTCTCTTTTACGTAATAAAATATTTTTGTTTCAAAGTGTCAACTAAACGCCGAAAAATAAAAACAAAAATATATTTTTTTTATGTAAAATCAATTTACAAGAAAAATTATTTTTTGTATAAAATATTTTACGTCAAAACAAATGAAACCTTAATTTAATGCACTTTTATTGAAATTAATATATCTCCAAACACTTTTACGTATTTTCCAGATATTTTTTACACACTTCCAACATTAAGCACAATAATGTGTATGTCCATGTCTATGGCACTTGTTACCATTTACCTAAAAATGAAGAGAGACTTACAGAGTATGTTTGGTTTGGATTTCTAGAGTGATTTTGAAAAAATTAAAAATTAAAAATTTGTTTAGTTTGTAAATTTTTCAAAATAATTTTCAAAATCACTCTCTCTCTTACCTACCGATCAATCACTTTTTCTCTCTCTTCTCTCATTCTCAATCATTTTTTCTCTCACACTCACGCACATCTACTCAATTATAACAAAATATCAAATCATTCCAAACTCCAAAACTACTTTCAAAATACACAACCAAACAAAACAAAAAAATTTATAAATTCCCTTCCCAAAACAATTTTTAAAAACTACTCTCGTAAAACCAAACCAAACCAAACATACCCTTAATTTTACTAAAAAACTTCAAGAACCTTTTGTAACATTTTGAAATTTACACCTCTACCATTACTGTGCTTAAATCTGAGTTTGTCACATTCATTCAGTGGAACATATGCAACAAAATTAAAATAAAAAATAAAAAATAAATAAAGTAGGAGATGAAAACTCACAGGGATAATTGTTGGATCAAGTGCACGATAAATGGCGTCCGGATCGCCGCCGGAGTCCACGGCGAGGCGAGCGAGCTCCATCACCGGCGCGGGCGGCCACCAAACGAGTTCGTTCTCTTCGTTCCATTTCCGATTACTGATCGAATCGGGCAGTCCGCGAAGCAGGGGACGCGATCGGGGAATAGGAGAGAAGGGGACGAGGAATTTGAGACAGGACCTGAGCTCTTTGGCCAAGTTGGGGTCGATTGAAGAGGCCTGGCTTGGGGTGCCGAGGAGAGAGAGCAAATCGGAGGGTGTGGCTTTGGGAGTGGAAGGGTTGTTTGGTGGAGATGGATTGAGCTTGAGGAAGGTCGAAAATGGTGGGAATGAAGAAGAAGAAGAAGAGGAAGTGTAAGAAGCTGCGAGAGAGAGTGAGACAACGAAGGCGAACCTTATGGAGAGAGATGGACTGCTCATCTCTCTCTCTCACTATCTCTCCTCCACACGCTCCCTTTCGTTCATGTGGTGACTATGCAAACTCTGGTAAAAACTGGAATCTAACAGTATCTCCAACATTTCACTATTTATTATTTATTATTTGTCTATTTAATTTGATATGAACCGTTTTAACTTTTAAATAAAATTTCTAAAAAGATTTCCAACGGTTCAGTAAATTTTTTATCAAATTTGAGTAATAGATAATAATTTTCTCAATCTGCTACGAGCAACTAGAGCGTACATCAAAACAAAAGGGACGTTTGATAGGTCGACCGGCCTCTTGATCGGGTAGGCAACTCAATTTTTTTTTTCTTTCCCTTTCTGTTCCCAATTCATTTATTATTTCTTTTTTCCTCCATTATATATTTTCCATTTTTGATTACCTCCAATAATGATTTCCTTTCAAAACCTAATATAAACACATTATTTATATACCATATACCAGACAACTGGTACGTTATATTTGAAAGACACCATAATTGAAAAAAAACAGAGCATAATGAGTATCTTAAATTCCATGATGTTAACTTTATTTTCATTCTTCTTCTACCTCATCCTCCAATGATGAGTCTGATGATGAAAAAATGGTCACACTTTTAGGGGTTTATGAGATGAATAATACTAGTATGATTCAAATTCTACAATCAAGTGATAGATCAAAGAAAAGAGGTGGTTATGTTGTAGACCATAAGTACATACATCGTGTGGTTTTTTTGGGTTGTGTTCTAAATTCATCTCACTTACAACTTCGACGCAAAATAGTCCAACATGTATCAAATGTGAAGTGTTTTTTTTGTATTGCATGATACATCTGTTTCGCTTCAGCGACCTACAAAAAAAAAATACAAAAATTTCAATAACAAGTATATATTACAAAAGAAAATTGATATTTAATAACAAAAAGAAATTTTATCATGTCTGCCTCAATTATTCCACTTTGTTGCCTCAATTGAATTTGCTTAAGAAAACCACATAATTTATTAATTGCCTTTTGCATGACAGACCAACGATGAGACAAAGAAATATGGTTTCGATTTGATTCACCACTCAATTGTGAATTAAAATAAACGAGTACTCGTTCCCAAAATATAACCATGGTCTGATTATTACTAGTAATGGGATATTGAGAGACTGCCAATCAAGATCTACATAAAGTTTCATCTTTTATAATTATAAACGCTTTACCACGAGAAACACTAGAGTTTCTGAAATAAAATGAATAGCAGTGTTGTGCTCTAGTGAAGTTTCCGAAATAAAATTAATCTCAGTGTTGTGCTATGAAGTTTTTGATTCCTCAAACATTTTAAAATCTTTCATAATTTAAAGCAAATTCAGTAGGATACAATATATAACTCAGACAGTGAAATATATTGTAATAATATACACTAAACCTCAAAATCAGATAATATACACTGAAACTCACAAAGAAAATAGAAATTATACTGATATTATTAAACTGAAACTCACAAAGAAATTGAACCTGAGAAACAGATAATATTCGCTCTATAAAAATTGTAATGCTGTTATCAAATTATAACTTACAAAGAAATTGAACCTGACAAACAGATAATACACACTGAAGCTCACAAACAAAATAGAAATTGTAATGATATTATCAAATTGAAGCTCCCAAAGAAAATAAGAATTGTAATGAGATAATGAAATAAAAAGATTGGTATATTTTATAGAGCACAACAGCAACAGTAAGTTTTCAAAATACTCTGTCACACCAATGGTAAGTTATTGGAAGTGCTGGTGCAGAACGGCTACTTCTCAACTCAAAATTTATATGTATATACGATGTAACTTTTCCATATTCCATTTTGATGGAAATTTAAATTTATATCAACCTTTAATTTATTCGTAGTGCCACAAAAGTAACCTACCTATTTGAACTAATTCACAGGCCAACCAAAAATTGTAGCAGATTGAAGTAGGTATGCAGACGTCGGTCGGCCGGTGGGTCAACCGGCCAGACGTCCGGCCGGTTGACCGGTGGCCCCACCTCCAACGTTAACGCACAATGAAATGGTGAAATTTCATGCAGGTCCTCAGTTTGATAAAACTTTTGCTCCGTTCTCAGTTTGATATCAGTTTGGTGAAACCATTAGAGAGAGAAAAAGTGACTTTTTTCATCAAATTCAAATCTGATGCTCAATCTGATGCAACGTCGGAGATGGTCAACTAAATTTTTTTTTTTGTTGAATTTCTCTTTTATTTAATTTTTTCATTAAATTTAAATTAAAAAATATATATTTTTAATAATTTTAAATTTAATAAATTATCAATTTAGTGAAAACAAAATTTCTCCCTTAATTGAATAAAAGGTGAAGTACCAATAAAGGCCAAAGTTTCGTTTTGGTGAATTACATAAAGCCCAAAGCATAAAAACACGTGTATTATGTGGTGATAGAAAAATTAATTTTCTCATAATATTAAAATTGTTAAACATAATATTTCAAAAAAATTTCTTAATATATTTTTTTCAAAATACTCTAAAAACGTAACACTCTAATATAACACACTAAAAAAAATTTTAATATATTTTTCTCAAATATAACAACGTAACATTAAAAAAAACTCCTTAATGTACTTTTTTTAAACGTAACACCTCAATGTAATACATAAAAACTACTTAGTGTGTTTTTTTTTTCCAAACGTAACACTTCAATGTCACACATTAAAAAAGTCCTCAATGTACTTTTCTCAAACGTAACAACGTAACATTTCAAAAAAACTTTTTAATGTATTTTTTCCAAGCGTAACACTCTAATCAATGTAACACACACAAACTCTTCAGTGTTTTTTCCAAAGGTAATACTCCAATGCAACATACTAAAAAATTCCTTAATATATTTTCTCAAATGTAACAATATAACATTCTAAAAAATTCTTTAATATATTTTTCTCAAACATAACAACGTAATATTACAAAAAAAAACTTTTTAGTATGTTTTTTTTGTTCCAAGCATAACACTCCAATGTAGCATATTAAAAAACTCTTTAGTAAATTTTTCTCAAACGTAACAACATAACATTATAAAAAAACTCATTAGTTGTATTTTTTTTTTTTCCAAACGAAACATTCCAATCAATGTAACACACAAAAAATTATTAATGTACTTTTTTCAAATGTTGCACTCTAATATAACACTTTAATGTAACATTAAAAAATCACACTAACAAAAATGTAGATACTCACGTTTGACAACTAACACTTCAACCACCCATTCTCCCAAAAAGAATATTCCATACCTTACATTTCTATTCCCATCCAAAAAACGAATAAAAAAATTAAGAAAATGAATCAGCAAAAGACATTCATTTAAACTCAAATGACACTAAATTAAATAAATATAATTTTTCAAAACAAAATGGAGCTTCATTAAGCATTAACTACGCTAACCAACTTTTTCGTGTTACAACTTTTTTAGCCTAACTATTTTGAATTTTTTAACTTTTGTGAGAGAAAAAAATGTAATGATTTTAATTTAAATGTAACATTTTGCCTTATTGGCTTATATAGCATATTTTGTCTTTTTATACTTTTTTAACCCCAAAATATTTACCAAATAAGGGCTAATTGATTCATAAAAAAATTCTTAAAACTAAATGAATCAACACTCTCAATATAATTTATGAGTAAATTTTCCGCTAATAAATACTTATACCAACATAATTTTGAATACTTTAAATTCAACAGGGGAAAAAAAAAAAAAAATTGTGAAGAATTTCTCAAATGTAACTAGATGGCTTTTCAGTAAACAGAGTTATGGCATTAAGTTAAAAAATTATTATTTTCAAACTTTTGTCTTTGTTTTTCAATTATTTTTTATTTTTTTTTTTTTTTCGGTCCTTCTAGTAAAGTAAAATCCAAAAGTGTAAATTTTTTTGAAAATTTTAAAAAACATCACTAAAGACGCATAAAAATCTACAATAAAAAATCAAACACCAAACCTCACGCTCTAGGAATTTGGATGATTTTTTTTAACAATGCTAACAAAAGACATAATTCAATTATGTAAATTCAAAATTAAAGCTAAATATTACAAAAATAATGTCTTCTTATTTTTTGATTTGATACATTGATAATGTGCTAAAATCTGCTATAAATAGGTTTCTGTCTGGGCTTAATGTCGTTTGAGAATAGATTTTTTTAAATAATATTTTGATTTTTTATGAAAAAATATACCAAAAAAAGTAAAGAGAATGAGTTGACTCTTTGTATATTAATTTTTTAACCTACTGATTTTTTTAGCCAATTGCCTCTTAATGTGGCAAAATATAGATCACTAAGAGCAACTCCGTCGCCATTGGATTTGCCACAGCTAAAATTCGCCAAGAGTTGGAAAAAACAGAGGCCTCTAGTGGCATGCTATACCATAAGCTTTGACAACGCCAAATCTGCCAGATAATCATTCCCAACTGCTTTCCTTCCTTCTATTCCTCATCCTTTCACAGCAAAACATCTTACATATTTAACCAGAAAATCGATTTTGAGCTTACATATATTAGCAGCGTGCTTTCACCATTTCCTTATACAGGAACTTGGCATATTCAAAATGTGACATTCCTGAGATTATCCCTATCAATCTGAATTCAAAAATCAACAATATATGTTTCCAGGACCATCAAACCCTCTTGAATCCAGCTGTTACTGGAAATGAGTTAATCTCTTGCCTGTACCCAAGTTCGAACCAGGCCAATTGGGAATCCAAAATGCAACCTTCTCTCCCTATTGTATATTTATACAAAAACAAATGCTCACCTTGGGTTGGTTTCAACGTAACAGTACATACAAATAGAATCAATCAAAATTCCACTGATATTCAGCTTGCCCGTCTAAGATAACAATCAACTAAACCCAAAAAAGATATCGATACGAGGCATGAAAAAAATATCAATACGAGGCATGAATTCTCTGCACAAGGAATCAAACCAAACATAGACTTGATACCAAAACACCACCAAGGGCTAATCTCAGGGTGAGGAAAGTGTCTAATCTCAGGGTGAGGAAAGTGTCAATTAAAGTGTCAATTTCTTCACTAAATTTTTTTTTTTTCCCTTTCCCTTCTGATAAGTAATTTTCTTTAGCAAGAACGAAAAATATTCCACATAATTGCACATGATACTAGTATCTGGGTCTATGACATGGGCCGGTCTATACAGTGCGTATGTGTTTTAAGACCAGTGCTCTAGGAAACAATCTTGAATCAGTTCCAGCTGAGAAGTCTACTAAGAACCTATGATTACAACAGTACCTTTCATGTTCTGCACATTAAATGCTCTGTATGGACGTTGTTCTTCAAAAAATTGAAACACATTCCTTGATTGCAGAATCGCAGCACATGTCCCACTAAATTCGGCTTCCACTTAACCTGCAAAGCCTGATATCCTAAACCAAAAATCAGCATTAGAATTATCTTCATGGTACAATGCCTACAGAATACACTTTTTTTTTCCTCCTGGGGATAACAATTCCAAGTTCAAAGTCCTCTTTCTGAAAGCTTCAACTCGGAGCCTTTGTTGCAAAATGTAGACTTTTCTATAAATGTAATCCAAACAAGACTTTCAAATGCATTTCTAGTTTTTCTCAAGCATGGCCACTTCTGAACAATAAATGATTCTATGGGTACAATAGAAGATGAATTTACTTACAGTATGAGCAGGATCCACAAGAACAAAATTTATATTGCCTCAAGGACTTTGATGCCAGCATTCTTGTCCCATTCCTCTGGTGTGGCAGCATCTGCCATTATCTTTTCCTGACCACGCCAAAGTATCTGAATCCCAAGAATCCCGAAAAAACTCAGTCAAGTATATAATTCATAAAATGAAGAACACGGAATATATAAGAACAGCCTCGCAAAAACATGGCAAACATGAACAACTTACCTTATCAATGACGCCAAAATCCTTAGCTCTTGTGGAATCCATATAAAATGGTCTTCTCATCACATTAGCAACAGTCTCTTCTGACTAGTGAGTTTATCAATTCATATGATTAGTGCTTCTTCAAATACCTGCTTTATTATAAATAAATAAATAGCTGAACAAGAAATGCTACTGATGCATTGATACTCACATTTCCCGTGTGCTTAGCCAGGAGTCCTACAAGAACATCCCTGTTTATTATTACCTGCAAAAGCAATTAAGTTCAACAGAAGATCCCATAAAATGCAAGTCTGTAAACATATGGATAAGTGCTCATACTGTGTATATATTTGTAAGATGTGGTTTTTCAAATGCTTTCAAATTAGTCTTTGAACTGGACATTTTCTTTTTCCTTAACATTGGAAAAGCATAAAATTTGTTCATAAATCATTAGCATGGGAAAAACCAACCAGCAAGATCACAGCATAACACACGTCAACATTCACCACAACACAATATCAACATTATGAAGTTTCCCTACACAAAACTGCATCCAAGCTGAATGAAAAGAAGGGAATAATCAAACAATGGTGAATGAATGCAGAGTGAGAGAGGCAAATCTTTGGAACCCACCCTGCATACAGCAATCCCCCTCGTAGAGTTCTTGCCATCCTTCGGTTGTGCACATAGGCCATGTCTTGTTATTTAAAGTACAGAACCACTACCCTTGAAGAGCAATCAATATATATCAGATTATACTATCTTGCTTCTAGCCTATTGATTGGTCACTTATAAGCCGAAGAGTTGTGCCTATTTGTTTAAAAGTAATAGTTTCAAGAGTACTTTCTAGATACTTTTTTCCTTAATGCTTCACTATAGCATGTTGTTCATCTGTGACCTTGCCTAGAAGTTTAGTGTTTAGGTGCCTCACATAAGTTTTTGTGATATGGTCACTCTTAATGGAAATATTTGCAAGAGGGGAAGACCAAAACTGACATGGAGTTGTAGTAAGAGACGAGATGAATTTATTTAATTTAACTAAGCATATAGACTTCAAGGGAGCAAATGACGAAATTCATGTCGCCAACCCCAATTGATTGGTACACAATACTTTGGTTTTGGTTTGGACATGTAGGTAGGAACAACTCTTTTAAACAGATCATAAGAATAAACTACTTTAGGCAATGGGCTAAATTTGCCATAAAACTTACACTGCAGTTCACATTTGAAAACCAGAAAGCAACCAAATGATTTTGACTAACCTCCTTTGCACGGATGAGAACATCACTGGCTGGCATTAACCCAGATGATGGGACACGAGGCTGTTGGATCATGGCTGGAACATAACTCAAGTGAGCCCTCATGAACTTTCAAGTAAGTTTGGATGCAAGATAATATGGAACAGTTGCAAAATTACAGTACACTCAGCAAGGCAAACAAACAAGTACATCATACCTTTGGCATGCGGCATCATAAACCGTTTGCCCTTGGTTCCTGCAGCAAGCAAGAGGCATGCATGACCTATAGCAGCCCCAACGGCAACAGTATGTATCTGCATACAGAAATAAAACGAGCAAAATAAAGCAGGGAATAAACAAATATACATTCTAGATTATTCCAAAAATGAAGCAATTATTTATCTAATAGAACTTGCTTGATCATAAAAATCATTGGCGATCATGCAAAACACATTTATGCAAAACAGAGCTGAAAAATAGCCATATTCAAGTCATGATTCCATCTTGCATTCAGTTTGGATAGAGTCACAAATTCATTGTTGGGCCATCATCTCCACAATGGAACTTGCTTTATTATAGAATTCTATGAAGATCAGGCAAAAATATAGTATACATCGGTGATGCATCTTGTATTGAGCATAGAGATGGCAACTGGAAGTATTCAAGTCTGGATTCAAATTCACATGCATCCAGTTTGGGTGCAATGTGAAACATACATGTGTTCTTATCAGATTAACAGTATGAAAGCGGGACACCATATTTCTACAATTAGAACAAAAGGTTTGGAGAAATTCAGATTTCCCAGAGTAGAAATATACCTCATTCTTTAATTGCATCATAGCATCATAAATTGCAAAACCCTCACTCTCCATCCCAACCTAAAATAATAAGAATGTGAAGCCACGAAATAACAACCATAAGAATCAATATAGAGAATACTGAAATTTGAGAAAATTAATGAATAACTCAAGACACAGATACATCTAAGCAATGAATGTAAGCATAGTTTGTAATTGTATGATACGAAAGGCAACAAAATGCTTTCCATATTAGATTAGGGGAACTCTCTTCTAGTAATTAAAAACACCACCACTGCAATGAAAATCCTAGGTTTCAGAGTTTGTTTTATAAACATAAAGAAGTTCATGTAGCCTCATTAGGCTATGAAATTATAACGACATGTATGTGTGTGTGTGGGACGACGCGGATTTTTTTTATTAAACACAATGAGATGAAAACAATGAGCAGGATGATCAATTTGATTAGAGCCACTCAAAACAAATAGTTGGCTATTTCTTCAACTGTTTTTTGTTCTTCAATATATTCATCTTTCTTCTGTAACACAATAAAATCATCGCCACAAAGATAATTGCAAGAATACAATTTTTATAGAATTTTTAAACAAATTACTTACCAAAAAAATATCAATCTAAAACAAATCTTTATAAACCAACTTTAGGAACTAAACCCCATGATTTCACAACCACCATAATAATTACAACATATACTGTAATGTAGTCTACAATCCGTGGGTACAAATGCAAGTGCAATAACGGAAACAACTGTCTAATTTTGACACACACAATTTTGGAAGAGCAAGCTAATAAAATCCAGATAAGGGAGCAATTTGTATATGGTATGTGCACACAAGCGCTTTGATTATAGATATTGATCCAACTGTTGTTCTTGTTTGGATGTGACAAGCTCATGACAATCTAAATTGAAGAACCACATAAATTATAGTTAAGGGGAAACACCAGCAAATAGTATACAACAAAAGCATAATCCATCATAAGAATTTTGTACCAAGATTAAATGATGCATCCCATGATTTTCTCCTTTTTTACTCTGCAACTTCTCTGAAACATTCTATAAATAATTTGATGCTTCCCAGACTGTAACCAATAACGCAAGACGAAAAAAGGGAATAAAGAAAAAGGTGACCCTTAAAGCAAACCGCAGAAAACGAGTATAGAAACTGATTATCGTATTGCTTTTCACGTATGCATATTTAATGTTCTTTTTGTGGGGTTAACTAGGCCTATTTAATTTTTTTTTTTTCCCATTGGCACCGGGGTGTCTGGATCAAAACCCGAGTAAACCCCAAGGATGCACAGGCCCTCGGCAAGGAGTTTTTCGCAAGTGCACCATGGTTAATTCAAGGGTTTTCCCCCAGTCCGATGACCCCAAAGAATTGTTAGCACCTAAGAAGTTTCGATTCCTAAACCTTAGAGGGAGCACACCCCCAAGACCCAAGACCTTACCACCAAGCCAACCCCTTGGGGTTAACTAGGCCTATTTAATACATCAAAGTTTTAATCATCACAAGCACTAATGACGTGGACAGAAGGAAATTTCTGGAACATTAAACAGATTGTAAATCAAAAAATACAATTCCTCACTTCGAATTCAGACAAGGTAGAGTTCAATTAAATTCCTTTAGGTGGTTATTTAACTAAAATATGTTTAAATAGAACAAACACCAACAAATATCTAGTTTTCATTATATTGAGAATGTCATGCACGTGCTTCTGCTGAGACAGATTGTTTATTTGTTCATCCCATGCAGCCAGAATGCCAGAATATGTGGAACAAGTATTAAGTTTAGATAGCCTCATGTAGATAACAACATAATTCCATGATTTCATCCAACCAGAGAAGACTTGCAACTACAATCATATTGCAAACTATTTTTCAACAACATTTCAGCATGTATGACATCATATAGAAAAGAGGCATGAGCTAGCACAATAGATGGAAATCAATGGAAGACTCACAGTTTCACCATCATCACGAGTTGTTCCAGTAGAATTTATATAAATATATATTGGCTCTTTAGGATCCATCCATTGCAGGTACATTAATTCTGCAATCACAAGCTCTGTGACCGCTGGCACCAACTGAAAAAAAAATATATATATTGTTCTTTAATTTGTTCAGAATTCTAAAAATATTCATCTCCTGAGCGCATATTCTTATTTCTCCTTTAATATTTCCCCATACAAAGTAACACGGAAAAAGAATGTTAGTACATTCAAACCAGTTAAAGATTAGGTTGTTTGTGCATGGGGAGAGCACGCCACACTGTGTGTTACAGGGATCAGATGTTCTTTCAAATGGTAGGTTCGTATTTGAAGATGATAAAAATCTTTTGAAAGTGAAAATAATACTTGTAAAGTTTACAGACATTAAATCCACAATGATATAGTCTTCTATCTCGTTTCATGGTCCTACAATTCTGTGTGAAGAGGAGCCTATACCATCAAGAGTCAAGACAAATTGAGAAGTCCCTTACAGCCCAAAGGCATAGGTTAAATATAACTGCTAATATTATCAAATAAAGTTGTTCTTTAGTACATTGAAATTGAATAGACCATTTGGGCTTTGTATCTAAAGGCAAATGCCTTTTTTGTTGTTGTTGAAAATATTAGGATTCAATTTATTGTATGCATAAGGACCCTTATCCAAACACAACCTGAGATAAATAGCAGATCAAAGCACCTACCGGCATGCCAATGTAGACTATTCTACCATGGAGAAGTAAAGATGGCAAGTCTGGTGGAGGTCTCCTCGGCCTGTGCTCATTGTACGAAACAGATCTTTCCACCTTATTCAAGTTTTAGGAGAAAGAGAAGGAAAGAAAGAAAAACGGTCATCATCAGATAAGCATGCTATGATACCAAGTACAAATACATACAAAAACTCTTTGACAACTCTTGATTCATTTGAACCCACGAAAGGAAATAGAGAAATAATTAGGTTCATTTTGGTATTACAAAATAGATACTCAGGTCCATCAATAGGCTGTTGTAACAATGAAACAACTTAAAATTTTTCAATATTTATTTTCTTCACGAATATACAAAAATTGTCTTTTTTATTAAAAAAAAAAAAAAAAAAAAAAAACAAAAAAAACACAGAATTACCTACTTATTAAAAAAAAAAAAAAAAAACAAAAACAAAAAAAACACAGAATTACCTACTCTAAAATTGAAATTTTCAAATTTGGTTTTGTTCAGCATCTATGCAAATTTGAACTAACAAATATACAAATTCAAAAATCAACATGTATATAATTCAAGCTTGATGTAAATAAAAAACCTAACAAGCTTCAAAATTTTGTATTCAAGCTCCAGTTATTTATCTTACGAACAGATCTCAAACGAGTTTTAATTACAAAGATTTATCATGAATATATATATATCAAGCCGAGCTCAAGAAAATTAAAATCTATATATCGAGCGGAGCTTAACATTAAAGATTTGGATGATTTACATTTCGAACAAATTTCAAATTCAAGATTTGCATATATATATATACACACACACAAGTGAAGAAGAGTGGAAAGTGAAAGTACTTGTGCAGGAGTAGCCATGAGCGTGGGAGATTCAAAGAGGTCCAAGTAAGGAAGATTATCAGAGTTGGAAGCTCGGTTCAGGAGCTTCTCCGGCGACGTTGCGGCGACGGAGGCGAGCTTCGTGAGAAATGGGTCCTTAGGGTTCACTGGAGGCATCGGAATTTTAGCTCCGTTTCTGCTATTTATGGCACATAGGGTCTGAATTGAACGACGTTTCAAGGACCGTGATGAAGACGAAGAAGGAACTGAAGTAGCCATCGGAGCTCGCAGTGAGGTCGCCATCTTTTCTGAAGAGAGAGAGAGAGAGAGAGAGATTGTTTGGGAATCGGATGGTGTGGTGTGTGTGCAGTGGTCTCCGGAAAAATGAGATGTGCGACGGGTGGGTCGGTGCGGGTGTGACCCGGGTGGCTTGTTTTTATGGGGCTTGAAAGCCCAGCGCATGAATATGAAATCAATGATATTTACAAATTTGCAAAATGGGAAATTTTAACATACTCCTTTAAAAAGAGTGTGCTATATATATTCTTAATTATGTGTTTTTTTTTAATTATGAACAATTTTATTCTTTAATTATAAGATATGAATTCTTTAGTTATATTTCATATTGTGTTTAGTTATAACATTTTTTTTTAAAATTATGACTCAAAAAATTAAAGTTATTATCATTTTTTTTAGAAAAATGTTAGAGATACTAACAATCTTACTAACACACTCACAAGTTAATGTAAGTCCCATACCAAGTGATAATTGATCTTATCAAAACTTGTGAGTGTGTTCATAAGATTGTAAATATTCCAAATATTGTTGTTTTTTTAGTTATAAAATACACTCTTTGAAAGGTTTGCACCATAATGTTTCTACTAACAAAATATATTCATAAAAACACATTTATATATTCGGATGAGTGTGATCCACATTTCATTGATTTTAATTTTATGCTTTTGAGATAACTTTTAAGATAAAAATTTATGATAATTAGTATTTTTTAATATAAAATTGCATGCTTCAGTCTAATAGAATAGGAGTTTTTTAATAGGGTAAGATCGAGATTAGAATATAAATGAAATAGATTTTAGGCCAGGGTGAGTAATTCCACCCCACCACACCTGATTATGTAAGAATTTATGTATTATTGATTGTTGTATTGATTGATATTGTTGATGTATTGTGATATTGATATTACAAGGATTCCTATTATATAGGAGAGGATTTGGGTAGTAGGTGAGGAGTAGGTGAGGATACATTGGTGGTAGGTGTAGTAGGTGTGGTAGTAGGTGGTGGTAGGTGTAGGTACATTTTAACAGCCCCCCGCAAACTCAAGAAGGATAGGAACTAACCAACTTGAGTTTGGAGAGAGTTACAAAACAAGAAAATACATAAAAATAAAAGAGGATAAGAGACACTGTATGGTCGTGTCAGACCATTGGTGAAGACACTGGATGGTGGTGTCATAACGTTGTAGAGGACACTGTATGGGGGTGTCATAACCATGTAGAAGACAGTTTATGGGGTCATGTCGGACCGTTGTAGAAAAACAGTTTATGGGGTCATGTCGGACCGTTGTAGAAAAACAGTTTATGGGGTCATGTCGGACCGTTGTAGAAAAACAGTTTATGGGGTCATGTCGGACCGTTGTAGAAAAACAGTTTATGGGGTCATGTCGGACCGTTGTAGAAAAACAGTTTATGGGGTCATGTCGGACCGTTGTAGAAAAACAGTTTATGGGGTCATGTCGGACCGTTGTAGAAAAACAGTTTATGGGGTCATGTCGGACCGTTGTAGAAAAACAGTTTATGGGGTCATGTCGGACCGTTGTAGAAAAACAGTTTATGGGGTCATGTCGGACCGTTGTAGAAAAACAGTTTATGGGGTCATGTCGGACCGTTGTAGAAAAACAGTTTATGGGGTCATGTCGGACCGTTGTAGAAAAACAGTTTATGGGGTCATGTCGGACCGTTGTAGAAAAACAGTTTATGGGGTCATGTCGGACCGTTGTAGAAAAACAGTTTATGGGGTCATGTCGGACCGTTGTAGAAAAACAGTTTATGGGGTCATGTCGGACCGTTGTAGAAAAACAGTTTATGGGGTCATGTCGGACCGTTGTAGAAAAACAGTTTATGGGGTCATGTCGGACCGTTGTAGAAAAACAGTTTATGGGGTCATGTCGGACCGTTGTAGAAAAACAGTTTATGGGGTCATGTCGGACCGTTGTAGAAAAACAGTTTATGGGGTCATGTCGGACCGTTGTAGAAAAACAGTTTATGGGGTCATGTCGGACCGTTGTAGAAAAACAGTTTATGGGGTCATGTCGGACCGTTGTAGAAAAACAGTTTATGGGGTCATGTCGGACCGTTGTAGAAAAACAGTTTATGGGGTCATGTCGGACCGTTGTAGAAAAACAGTTTATGGGGTCATGTCGGACCGTTGTAGAAAAACAGTTTATGGGGTCATGTCGGACCGTTGTAGAAAAACAGTTTATGGGGTCATGTCGGACCGTTGTAGAAAAACAGTTTATGGGGTCATGTCGGACCGTTGTAGAAAAACAGTTTATGGGGTCATGTCGGACCGTTGTAGAAAAACAGTTTATGGGGTCATGTCGGACCGTTGTAGAAAAACAGTTTATGGGGTCATGTCGGACCGTTGTAGAAAAACAGTTTATGGGGTCATGTCGGACCGTTGTAGAAAAACAGTTTATGGGGTCATGTCGGACCGTTGTAGAAAAACAGTTTATGGGGTCATGTCGGACCGTTGTAGAAAAACAGTTTATGGGGTCATGTCGGACCGTTGTAGAAAAACAGTTTATGGGGTCATGTCGGACCGTTGTAGAAAAACAGTTTATGGGGTCATGTCGGACCGTTGTAGAAAAACAGTTTATGGGGTCATGTCGGACCGTTGTAGAAAAACAGTTTATGGGGTCATGTCGGACCGTTGTAGAAAAACAGTTTATGGGGTCATGTCGGACCGTTGTAGAAAAACAGTTTATGGGGTCATGTCGGACCGTTGTAGAAAAACAGTTTATGGGGTCATGTCGGACCGTTGTAGAAAAACAGTTTATGGGGTCATGTCGGACCGTTGTAGAAAAACAGTTTATGGGGTCATGTCGGACCGTTGTAGAAAAACAGTTTATGGGGTCATGTCGGACCGTTGTAGAAAAACAGTTTATGGGGTCATGTCGGACCGTTGTAGAAAAACAGTTTATGGGGTCATGTCGGACCGTTGTAGAAAAACAGTTTATGGGGTCATGTCGGACCGTTGTAGAAAAACAGTTTATGGGGTCATGTCGGACCGTTGTAGAAAAACAGTTTATGGGGTCATGTCGGACCGTTGTAGAAAAACAGTTTATGGGGTCATGTCGGACCGTTGTAGAAAAACAGTTTATGGGGTCATGTCGGACCGTTGTAGAAAAACAGTTTATGGGGTCATGTCGGACCGTTGTAGAAAAACAGTTTATGGGGTCATGTCGGACCGTTGTAGAAAAACAGTTTATGGGGTCATGTCGGACCGTTGTAGAAAAACAGTTTATGGGGTCATGTCGGACCGTTGTAGAAAAACAGTTTATGGGGTCATGTCGGACCGTTGTAGAAAAACAGTTTATGGGGTCATGTCGGACCGTTGTAGAAAAACAGTTTATGGGGTCATGTCGGACCGTTGTAGAAAAACAGTTTATGGGGTCATGTCGGACCGTTGTAGAAAAACAGTTTATGGGGTCATGTCGGACCGTTGTAGAAAAACAGTTTATGGGGTCATGTCGGACCGTTGTAGAAAAACAGTTTATGGGGTCATGTCGGACCGTTGTAGAAAAACAGTTTATGGGGTCATGTCGGACCGTTGTAGAAAAACAGTTTATGGGGTCATGTCGGACCGTTGTAGAAAAACAGTTTATGGGGTCATGTCGGACCGTTGTAGAAAAACAGTGTTGTGATATTGATATTACAAGGATTCCTATTATATAGGAGAGGATTTGGGTAGTAGGTGAGGAGTAGGTGAGGGTACATTGGTGGTAGGTGTAGGAGGTGTGGTAGTAGGTGGTGGTAGGTGTAGGTACATTTTAACAGATGTATTAAAATTGTACATATATTTTAATTATAGTTTTATTATTGTTTCATCATTAAAAATCATCTTTGTGAATTTTTTTCTATTCTAGTACTCTACATATTATACCTTTTTTTTTCTCTTCCTCATCTCCATAACCTCACTACAAATTAATACCGAATTCAATATTGAAAATATAAGTTGTAGAATTAAAAGGTACAAATCAAGTGGGGGATTGAATTACACCAAGCATAGATGGGGAAGGGTTGAGTTGGGAGACTTGTTAGCTAAACAGAGGCAAAGATGGGGCAGTGTCCCCTAACCCACATCAACCCATTGCAATCCCTATACCAGTATTCATTTGTTTCTTACTTGTCTTAACCAAATAAGAGGAGAAATTTTTTTAAATCCTCTATTCATTTTCCCATATATTTTGCATTTCATTCTCCTTCTCCATTTATTCCACAAAATCCAAGTATGACAGAAAGAAGAAACATAAAGACATCTTTTATTACCCTCCAACAGAACATGCAATGCAACCATCCCAATATTTTTTGTTTTTGTTTATAATTATCTATTTTTCAATGTAAAGAGAATGATAGCATCATAAAGAGCATGATTAGCAACACAATGAGCAAGCAAACTCTATTACAATCTTGAATTATATTACAAAAGCATATTGACAACTAGAAAATCCAGCTTGGAGCACCAAAACTGCAATATCAGCATAATAGCATTGAGTATTCAAAGATACTTACTCCCAAAATCACCACTATTACGCAATCTCAAGGGCGAGCACGAAAACATAGAACATCATAAGAAGAAAAATATTTCATTTATAATCAATGAATTCAAAAGAGACAGCGCAGTGCTAACATTATTCAACAAAACACATAATAAAAAAAAAAAACTAGCAGCTTATATTCTTTGATGATGACATCTTCATGTTCCCACATACATAAAAGTGTTTTTATATGGCATCAACATAACCGATATTGATCAATGAGCTGAGACAGCTCTCTCTTCCTGGCTGCTGACCAATGGTTCAGTCATAGCCTCATCATTTACACTGAAAATCTTGGCAATCTTCTCTGTGGGCACCAATGGCAGATAAGATGAGACTCTATATCCCTTCTCAGCCGTAGAACATACTGTCAGGTTGTACTTTTCAGAACAGTAGGCAGCTGTTGGCACCACAACTTGGGCCACCCGAGGGAACAGTGGGAGTCGATTGAGGGAGCGCCAAGTTGACGCGGCATACTGCTCAGCCACTGGCTCGTACTTGGAGTAAAGCCCCTTCGCAGCTGGCTCGCACTTTGTGTATGCGTTCTTTGCGAGTCCTGAGGCAGTGTCGACCACATTGACATGCCGGACTTGTGCTACCACAGACCGAACAGCTGTTGGAGCGTTTTGAGCAGCTGAAAAGGCTTGGGTTGATGCCTTTTTCATGACTGGTGGCACACGACGGTCTAACTCATTTACAGAGACATCAACCTGCAATAATGATACATGGAATTTAACAACAGGTCCAACCCTAATACTGGCTAGTGGCCGAGCCACGTTGAGATAAGTTGCAGAAACTAAAACTAAAACACCCATTGTCTTTTTATTTTTCATGTTTCTAAAAACAAAGAACAATTAAAAGTAAAAAAATACCCATTATTTTTCTTATTTGAAAGTAGCTTTAAAAAATTAAAAAACAATTTAAAAAGTGAATTTTTTCATAAAATTTTTTTTTTTAAATGGCTTTCAAAAGCAGTTTGCAAAACAAAATTTATTATTTATTTCTACTGTGGCCAAAAATCCATTCCTAAACTCTGGTCCTTCTCTACCCCAGAAACTATCTGCCCCTCAAAACATTACAGAGAAGGGTGAACTATTACAAAGCATGGAACATGAAAAATTATCGCATAGGTCCGCCTCATATTATAATGGTGTGTCCTGACAATTCTATTATTTTTTACGCTAATTGTTAGATAAAATTCCGAAACCAAATTAGATGTTTATTGGCTAGAACCACAGGTTGTAATTCGAATCAATATATTGATTTAAAATTAAAAAAAAAAGCTTTGCCATATGATATGAAAACAAGAAACACGAAACAATGATATAGGAAATTTAGCAAAAGATCAAACTAACAAATGGTCAGTAGCGAAGCCACGCGGAGACCAATTGCACAAACAAAAACAAAACACCCATCGTTTTTTTCTTTTTAGGTTCTTCATAAACAAAAACAACCAAAAATTCAAATTACCCCTAGTCTTTTTCATTTCTGTAAACAATTTTGTTTCGTTTCATTTTTCTGAAAACAATTTTCAGAAAATTCTACTTTCTTATTTTCTGTATTTTTTTGTTTTTAATAAATTTTTTAATATTTTAAGTAATTTTTTTTAATTTTTAGATATACCTAACATAAATATACCTAAAAAGTAAAAAATTTGTGAAAAAAACTTTTTAAAAATTCACTAAATACCAAAAACACAAAAAAAATACGAGAATTCAGTACATTTTCTATATTTTTATGTATTTAATAGTTTTTTAAAATATTTTTTCACAAATTTTTTACTTTTTAGATACATGTAAGTATTTAAAATTAAAAATATTTAAAATTTAAAAAATATTCACTAAAAACAAAAAAAAATAGAAAAAACAAAAAACGCAATTTTTAAAAAATTTAATCAAAAAAACTCAAACCAAACGCACTTGTTTTTCAAAATTCAAAAACAACTTATAAATTGATTTTTCAAAGAAAAAAAAAAATCTCCAAAACTGTTTCCAAAACAGTCAGATAAACAAATTTATTATTCAATTTCAATTCTACTAAATTCCGGTCCTTCTTAATGTAACACGCCAATTGTTCGATAAAATTCCCAAACCAAACTAGATGTTATTAGATCTAAAAGAGAGTTATAACGAACCTTGCGATCGACGAACTTGAGAACTTGAATGGGGACGTCATGGAACTTATCGTAGACTGGGCCGACAACCGTCTTGACGGTGCCTTCGACTGTGTCGACCGATGGCTTGAGACGGCCGGAGTTGTCCTTGGCGTAGCCGTAGAGCCTCGCGAAACACACCACCGCGTGCAGCGCCGCCACTTGCACGAACTCCAGGTACTTGAGCCTCTCTACTTCCTCAATCTCAGCCTTCAAACAAATAATAACCACATCAGTAATCAAAGAGGGAAAAAAAAAAATCAGCAAAAAATCAAAACTTGATTCGATTAATTGGAGAGAAGACGAATGTGAGCCTTCCAAATCAAATGATGTGAAGTTGAAATTGAGAGGTTCGTACCACTTCGGGTTGAATTTTTGGGTTTGATTCGGCCATGATCGTAGTTTTTGGGAAGATTGGTTGAATTTTTGGGTTTGATTCGGCCATGATCGTAGTTTTTGGGAAGATTTTGAAAACTTGATAATAATGCGTATACGAAAGTTGTAGAAAATGCTTGCTTGGTTGTTATGATGGGAATGTAGAGATGTGTGGGGGTATATATAGGTTTGGCGTAGATACTCGGCGAGGATCGGGACGAGGAGAAGGAGCGGCTGTGGTGAGAAAGCGTGTGACAAATCCGACGATTTTGGCGGTGCCGATTTTAGAGTCGCTGAATACTTCGAAGTTAAGCTACTTCTATTCTATTCTAGTAAACAAGCTGTTGACCAACTCTTAATGGTTAAGGATGTTACTATTTCTCTCAAATATGCGTTGTTTTCAACTTATTTCTGAATTTAATTTTTTTAAATTTGATTTTTTTATTTTTCATAATTTTTTTTTTAATTTTTAGTAAATATTTTTAAAATTTTAAATAATTTTTTTTAGATACATCTTATTTAGATGTATCTAAATAATAAAATATTTTAAAATTTTAATAAATATACAAAAATATGAAAAATGTATTATTATTTTTTTTTTGTATTTAGTGAATTTTTTAAACATTTTTTTCATAAATATTATATTTTTTAAGTATATTTATGTTAGGTATGTCTAATTTTTTTTAAAAAAATACTTAAAATGTTTTTAAAAATTGAGTGAAAACAAAAAAAAAAAAATACAGAAAAAAGTAAAATCTTTTAAAAATTGAATTATGAAAACTAATGGGTTGTTTGGGGTGTACTAAACAAGTGTACTTTTTGTCTTTTTGAACTAAAAAATTGATGAAGAAAATATAGATGTTTGGGTTAACTTTTTGACTTTTTATGAAAAAATGTGTAATAAAAAATTGTAAAAATTAGTTTGTAAGAGAAAATTAGAATTGAGAGTTATGCAGCCGTAATTGTTAAATTTTTGTAAATAGTGTTAACTTTTTAACTTTTTGAATAATTTTTTGACTTTTTAATTTATTCTGGACTTGTCAAACTTGGCCTAAAACCAAAGAGAGTATACGGTTTTGTGGGGATTGTGTTTTGAAAATGACATCAAGTTGTACTTTTATAATATAATTTTTGAAAAGATAATTATATATTCATAATTTTTATATAATAGTAATCAGCTTGTTTGGTTTTGATTTTCAAAATATAGTTTTTAGAAAATTTTATTTTTTTATTTTTTGTATTTTACTGTTTTTAATGAATTTTTTTAATATTTTAAGCATTTTTTTTTTAAATTTTTAGACACACTTAACATAAATACACTTAAAAAGTATAATATTTATGAAAAAATCTTTAAAAAATACACTAAATACAAAAAAATACGAAAAATTAGTACATTTTTCATATTTTTGTATGTTTATTAATTATTTAAAATATTTTTTCACAAATATTTTGCTATTTAGATACATCTAAGTAAGATGCATCTAAAAAGATTTAAAAAAAAATTGTTTAAAATTTAAAAAATATTCACTAAAAACAAAAAAAAAAACACGAAAAACAAAAAATACAATTTTCAGAAAATTGAAACCAAACACACTAAATGTGTTTTTATGAGTCGACATCAGACTATACTTTCGTTTGGGATGTAGGTTGGCTATTTGGCTTTTTGACTATTTTAGCCTGGGCAAAAAAAACATTTGGGATGAGTTTTTTTACTTTTGTGAGAGAAAAAATGAAATGATTATGATTTGGATGTAACATTTTGTCTTATTGGGATAAAAAAATCTATTTTATCTTTTTGTGGCTAAAATAATCCCAACTCAACCCAAACCTTCGTGCTAAATGAACCCATCAAATAGTGAAAATAATGTTGGGTTTTTTTACCTGTCGGTCTCAATAATTGAATCTATTACCCATTAGGTCTTAAGTTTCTCTTTCATGCACCAGAAAGTCTTCCTATATTTTTTTATCTCGATTTTGCCCATATTATTATACTACAAGAGCCATTGATTGCGCCACTGAAATGTTTTGGGGGGGGGAGGTCACGGCATTGACGGCGGTTAGGAAGTTTGCGCCGAAGATTCGGCAATTGAACTGTTGGTGTTGGTGTTGGTGAACATGGGAACAACTTCTGTGGCCTTTGGATTTGAGAGAGATGGTGTTAAATCAGTGAGAGATCAATAAGATCGGCATAAATGGAGATGGGTGTGTTGACATTGACGAGTTCGGAGCTCTGCACCAATTAATAATGGATGAGCGAGACGAAAAAGAAGACATGAAAGAGGCGTTCAGGGTGTTGATCAAAACGGTGAAGCGTTTGTCTATGTATTTTCAATGCCAATCAGAACCCCTATCTTGTTTAAACCAATGATAAATTTATCAGTAAATTTATTAAAATTAGTGATAAATTTATTTAAACCAGTGGTAAATTTGTTTAAACCAGTGATAAATTTGTTTAAATCCGTAGTAATAATTTTATCACTGTTGAATTTGTTAAAAAATTTACAAATAGCATACTTGATTTGAGAGAGAAAGAGAGGGGCATCACAATAAATTTATCATTGAATTAAGTAACAAATTTATCATTCATAAATTAAATAAAAAATTTATTAGATCAGTTACACGTTTGTTGTCATGACCCAATCCCAGGAGCTTAGGACTTGAATCGCAACTTACTAAATAATTTTAATCGTAAATTAAATGGCGCAGACGAAGGTAAAAAGGAAGTAGGAAATAATTAAACAGAAAATTAATTTCATTTTACTATTTTAATAAAAAAAAATACATCTAAAGAGCTTTTATTAGTATTATGTGACTGACTATCAGTAAAAAAACAAAAAACAAAAAAAATAAAAAACAAAAAAAAAATAAAAACAAAAGGAAGAAAATAAAATAAAGACAAAATAACGGATCAGAATCAAATTCTTGTGCGAGTTCCACTATATGAGGTTACGGGTCTTTCTTACATTTCATCACCTGAAAAAGTAACAACTATAAGTACACAACAGAGTGAGAAATGTTGTGCCAATAGTATAGGGGACACAAAATAATAATGAATAGTTATTCAAGCTAAATCGATAAAACAAATCATTTAAAGTGGCAGAAACTGAAATATAGAAATTATATAAATAACTATAACCACAGTACAGAATAGAACAAACACAAATGTCACAATGTCACATGAGTAACAGTCAGAACTGAGGTCAATGGATCCATGACAAATAGAGGATCACAAAGTGGCCAAACAGAGGGCAATGGTTATTTAAGTCCCCCAAGGCATGAGACTCCCGTGGTGGTACTTACAAAATATAATTATTTATAAAATCATTGTCAAATAATTTTTAAAATTTAAACAAACATATCCATGAGTTTCAGTTTAAGCAAATGGAGTTCAGAAAATAATTAACGTAATTGAAATATAAATATAAGTTATAAAATATAACTTTATAAAATAAATTATGGTAATTTAAAACATACGTAAAATATATTATGGTAACTTAAGGTATAATATAACTCACCTTAATATTGATTCTCAGCCTTTTCTTACTTTGTTTTTCCCTTTTTTATTTTATTTTTCTTTTGTTTCTGTTGGCTAACCGCAACTCCTTTTGTACCCGAGCTCTAAGCAGGTGACTCACCCTGTAATTATGTTCCTACATGATGATTCACTACCTATACTACTTAGGCCTAAGAGGTGGTTCACCTCCTAATTTGGGATTCACCTCCTTTCTAGCACTTTACTATCCAGCTTCCTTTAGCCATTCCACCAGATAGAGATGCGTGGTGACAACGGATCTGATGGGCAAGAAGGGAGCCACGTCTATAAAGCTCAAGAGACAAACAAAACAACACCAAATTCTATTATTTTGGCCAAATAAAGGTACGTAACGGAAAGTTATTTTTTTATTTTTATTTTGAATTACATATTCAGATTCAGATCCTTTCTCCCGCCTTTTTCATAAATTCAGAACCCAATCCCTCTCTCCCTCTTTCTCTTTCTTAGAACCCATTCCCTTATTTACGATTAAGTTTTTTTTTTCCATTTATAATCGATCAACGGTGGAAGGCTTCGACATCCCTGGGACTTTATTGTTTGAAAATCTTTGTTTACCTAAACAATTGTAGACACCAAAGGTCAGATTTGTATTATTTTATTTTATTTTATTTTTTTTGGTTCAAATCCATTCCAAGTGTATGATGAAATGCCTCAATGAATCATGGACTTGCAAACATGGGTGTGAATCGTGGTGAAAATCTAGAAGTTAAATGCTCATTTATATGTGTTAGAAATTGGGCGCCCATGTGGCATGACCCTTGACCTTTTTGAACCTTATCCATATAAGTTTGAATTTGAATTCAAAACCTATTTGGATAACCCACTCATGGTATCTATATCTATCATATCAACTGATATAGATAGATGATATACTTAGCCTATATATCTGATACGATATATAGGATAAGGGATGAATCAAATAACGTATGTTTTTTTCCATACCGACTCTCTCCCATTAAAATAATAATCGAGCTTTTTGCACTATGACTTGTGTGGGTGATATTCATATTGTGGTATCACTCCACTGTTGGGTATTCGTTGTTCGCATTTTTAAAGCACGTGATTTACCCATAAGATTCTTCGCTTCAGGTTCTATCACCTAAGGTATGATCTGATAATTTTTACCAGTTGCATTATACATGTTTTACATTGGTATCAGAGCTTTAATGGGCATTTTTGTGCTTATTTTTATGCATTAAAATAGGTGTATAATTTTATATAAATATATGCACGATATATGCATAAAAATTAATAATTTTTCGAAATATCTCCAATAGACCTAAAATTTATATATATTGTAGTATATTTAATGTAGAACATATCTACAAAGTTTCATGAAAATCCAACGGTTAGATTTCAAGAAAAAAGGAGACCCATTTTATATTTTCGAAACTTTACATGCATGATGGTTTTACATGTTTTAATTTCAGTCTGCAAATCTTACATATTTAGAATCTTTATTTCGAGACCTTCGAAACCATATATTATTTGTTAGATTTGAATTTACGGTTGATGAGATACATCAAACCCTAATTTGGGTTCGTTTTATTTTTTGGTGGCTTAAGGAAGAAGATGAAGTGTAGAGTTTATGCACTTACACTCTCATTTGAGAGAGTGTGTAACACACTCTATTATTTGGGTTTGTTAAATGTAATTTTTGAGACCACCATTGATTTTATTTTGAAAAATAGAGTCCAGCAGTACCAAAATCGAACCAGAAAATACTTTGGAAGGCAGCGCGTGAGCCGCACGCGCCATTTGACGACGTCA